CCCAAAAAACCGGACATGTCCGGGAAAATCCGGACGTATGGTAACCCTAGCCTGTCAAAACACTAGCATCTGGAACCACACTTGGTCAGACCAGAGAGAAGCGAGCTGCAGTATCCCTCTATCCCAGACACTCTGTGCTATCAATCTTGATAACCTTGATGTGTTCCATGTCGGCTTCACAAGGCCCTGTGTTCACCAAACTGGTGTGATAAGAGGTGGGAGTCCCCTCTGGGGCCTCAGGGTTGCGGACAACTGAGCTAACATGGGACAAGGGAGGTTTACTCTCCTTTAATTTGGGACAGGTGCTCCTCAGGAGCTCTGGGAAATTACAGTGAAAGCACCTTCTGGGATCCCCTGGTTGTCCAGGAGACCTGGGGCAAGTAACAGGGGAATGGGGAGATAAACACCAGCCTCCTTTTTCCCAGGGGTAAAATGGTGATTCTGCTTTCCACCAACCCTGTACCCCTCTGCCAGTGGTTTCTGTTTAATCGCAGCTTGTGATTGCTCATAAGAGTCTACAAACCCAGCTAATTCACCCACTGCAGCCACCTTTTTCTCCCACAAATACTGTTTTACATCATCACTGCACGTATTCAGGAACTGCTCCTGAACAACCAAATCACACATTTCTTCAAAGCTTGTAATGCCTTTTCCCCTCACCCACTTGTCTAACAAATCCCTCATTTCATTTATATAAGCCACATTACTCAATCCAGTTCCCCTCTTAAGGCTCCTGAATGTAACCCTGTAAATTTCAGGTATAATCTGAAACTGTTTCAAAACCGATTCCTTAAATATACCATAGTTCTAAGCATCAGCAATAGGGATCTTATTGAATATGTCCAGAGCTCTCCCAGTCAATTTTGCAACTAAAGTAGTCATCTTTTGAGCCTCAGAAATCGCATGGAGAGTGCACAGTCTCTCAAAGGTGATGAAATACTCAGCAATATCACTGGATTCATCATATGGTGGACATAATCGCTCCCATTTATGGATTTTTGGGGAAGTGGAGCCAGCTGCTGAAGGGTTCTGTCTCTTCCACTCCATCACAGCCAGTTCATGCTTCTGGGTCTCAATCTGGGTTTGTATCTGGGCTTCAATTGCTTTGTCTTTTAACGTCAGGGCTTATGTTCCTTCTTCTTTGGCTGTCTGCCCAAACTGACCTGAGTTGATCCCCTTTTATAGTGCTGCTACACTAGGAGCATGCCCAATAGGGCTCAGGGGATGTTGCTTTCTCAGCCCACAGTGTGGAGTTAACCCTTTCCCGCCCAGAGTGGGGTGAGTGCACTCCATCACAGGCCTATCAACACCCTGTAGTCATAGGACAAAAAGAATCTGGATTTATGGCTCATTACAACTATCTGTAACCCACTAACCCCCACGTTTTGTCCTATGACTACACAGGTTTTACTCTATGAATCTCAAAAGCTTGTCTCTCTCACCAACCAAAGTTGATCCAATAAAAAGTATTACTTCACCCACCTTGTCTCTTCATTATTTTAGATGTCAAAAGATTTAATATACCATCTAGGGCAGGGGTGGGCAAACTTTTTGGCCTGAGGGCCACATCTAGGTATAGAAATTATATGGCAGGCCACGAATGCTCATGAAATTAGGGGTTGGGGTGCAGGAGAAGGTGAGGGCTCTGGCTGGGGCTGAGGGCTCTGCGGTGGGGCCAGAAATGAGGAGTTCAAGGTGAGGGAGGGGACTCCGGGGTGGGGCAGAGGGTTGGGGTGCATGGGGGTGAGGGCTCTGGCTGGGGGTGTGGGCTCTGGGGTGAGGCTGGGGATGAGTGATTTGGGGAGCAGGAGGTGCTCCGGGCTGGGACCAAGGGGTTCAGAGGGCAGAAAGGGGATCAGGGCTGGGGCAGGGAGTTGGAGCGTGGGAGGGGGTCAGGAGTGCAGGCTCCGGGCAGTCCTTACCTCAAGCAGCTCCCAGAAGCAGCGGCATGTCCCCCTTCTGGCTCTTACATGGACGTGCGGTCAGGTGGCTCCGCGCGCTGCCCCATCCACAGGCACCACCCCCGCAGCTCCTGGAAGCCGCGGCATGTCCCCACCTCTGATTCCTATGCAGAGGTGCGGCTCCATCCAGGCGGCTCTGCACACTGCCCCGTCCGCAGGGGCCACCCTTGCAGCTCCCATTGGCCGCGGTTCCCAGTCAGTGGGAGCTGCACGGGTGGTGCTTGGGGCATGGGAAGGGTGCGGAGCTCTCTGGCTGCCCCTGTGCTTAGGAGCCGTAGGGGGGACATGCCAGTACTTTCGGGAGCCACGCAGAGCCATGGCACGCACGGAGCAGGGCAATCCCCTGACCCTGCTCCCCAGTGGGAGCTCGAGGGCTGGACTAAAAGGTCTGACAGTCTGGATGCAGCCCGCGGGTCGTAGTTTGCCCACTCCTGATCTAGGGTCAATGAAACACAAAGTCACTGAGTTGTCCCCCCGAATCACACAAGTTAAACACAAGGGACCAGATCCCCAGCTGGTGTAAATTTACTTCCATTGAAATCAATGGGACCAAGTCCCACAGGGGTGTAAATCAGCAGAGTTCCACTGAAATTAATTGAGGTATGCCAATTTGAAGAGTTGGTGCTATTCTTGTAACCTAATAACTAGTAGCTGAAAACTCATGCTGTTTCCCGGGTGTAATTCGTAAAGTCATGTGTATAAAAAGCCAAAAAGTGCTGAGGACCTAAAAACTGGACAGCAGCAGACTGTGAATCTCAGTGATGGTTGAACCTGATGATATTCTGAACAAAGACTCCTCCACCATTCTTGTAGCTGTTTCCATCACTTCACGATGACTCAACAGACATTCTAGACTTCAGAGTGATGTTTGGGTTTATTGTGTGCTGTTTGTGTTGCTGTGTGTGGGTTGTGTTGTGCTGGGAGAGTAGTGTAGATTTGTGCAGATGGTGAGTGAGGGGCGTGTGCTGCCGTGAGGGGCTATATAGAGTCAGTCTGGATTTACACAGCTGTAAATGGGACCCTACATGCCTCATCCTGAAAGGATCATTCCATTTATTTTAACCTGTGATGCTCTTCTGTTTCCCTAGTATATCACATATCAGCCAGCCCTCATGCCAGCCTGTAAGGTAAGGACACCTTTTACCTAAATCAACCCCCCCTCATAGCTGTGTTCTGTATTTATCTTCACCACTGTTGTGCTATGGCTTGACTAGGGGCCTTCTACTACCCTCATGCATGTTAAGTAGTAACTAGAGTGGAGCAAAATTCAGAGTTCCTGTCCTGTGGGGAATTCCCACATTCCAACATTTATTTTTGTTCCAAAATAGGACAAAATATTTGAAATTTTCTGCAGAACACAAATAAAAAATATCAATTTGCAAATGTCAAAACATTTTATCTTGACTTTTTCTGATGAAACAAAACATTTTGACCTTCCTGAAATAGAAGCAATTCATTTTGGTTTGTTGAAGCACATTTCAACATTAAACTACCTTTCCCTGTTGTCCAACGGGAGTTGTTGGTCCAGCCCACGTTCTCTCCTAGGAGCCTGGCTCCATGGGCAGACTAATCCTACTGGTTTGTGATAATCCCTTTAGGAAGAAAAATCTCATAGACACAGATGAGGATGTGTCGTCACTACAGCGACTACTGTGGCACAGGTATGGCTGTGCCGTTGTAGCACTGTAGTGTAGACTTCTTAATTTGATGGAATTTCTCTCGATGCTGTTAATCCATCTATCCAAGAGGTGGTAGCTTGGTTAATAGAAGAATTCTTCTGTCACCCTAGCCGTGTCTGAGCCGTGTTAACTACAAATATGGGTGGCTTTGAAAATCCTGGCCAAGGTGACTACAACTGTTCATCCTAAAATTAAGGGCCCCCCCCCCCCCCCCAAAACTTAAATGATCAGAATGTATTTTTGAAAAGTTTGTGCTTATTGGGCTAGATCAGGGGTAATCAATTATTCTTTGTCAAGGTCCAAGTTTCTTGACAAAAGTATAGTCAAGGTCCAGAGTCCAGAGAAAAGAATACAAAAATAATAACAATAATAAGAATTATAATAACTAAACAAATGTCATGGTCCTTTTAAAAGTGTTTGGAGGTCTGGTGTTTGCATGCTGTCTGCCTATTGACTACAGCTGGGCTAGAACCTCAGCCAGTGCAAATCACATGGATGTCGATGGATTGGCACTGATTGACACAAGCTGAGGATCTGGTCCATTGATGCTAAGAGAGTGAAACAACTCTGATTTCTTTCTCATTCATAGACAAGTTGACCTAGATGAGACCTCCTTGGTGATTTCACGGTATGGATTCATTAATATGTAGCAAAATAAGCAGCTGAGATTGTGGCCATGGCAAATGAAGCAAAGAAGATTGATGCATGTCCAGCCTGATCTATGAATTGTGTATTAATTATATTGATTCTTTAAAAATTCCCAGTTATCACTCTGAGGTTCAACAGGTTCTGGTCCCAGAATTATTAAAATTACTCTTCATTTGGGAAATATTAGCCATTATCTTCCTCATCACCATCACCTGTGGCCATCATCCCTGCACCACCCAAGGGCTACATCTCTCTCTCCTCCTGCCCACAGACTGGGATACAATTTTTATAATATGTTACACTGACACCACTATGTCTAATGCATATTCAGTGAGGGGTTGTCCTCTCCTTCCTTATTTTTATTTCTCACTAGCTTGTGCTAATCCCTTTAGGAAGATAAAGCTCATAGCCACTGATGTGTGTATGTCTTCACTACAGCAACTACTGTGGCACATCTATGGGTGTGCCATTGTAGCACCATAGGATATATCAGGGATTGGCAACCTTTGGCATGCGGTTCGCTAGGGTAAGCACCCTGGCAAACCGTGTGCCAAAGGTTGCCGATCCCTGGTGTAGATATTTCTAGTGTAGACAGAAGGGGTTTTGCTGTTGACTTCATTAATCCACCTATCCAAAAAGTGGTAGCTAGGTTGGCAGAAGAATTCTTCCGTCAACCTAGCCATGTCTACATGAGTGTTAGACCAACTTACCTATATTGCACAGGATTTGAAATTTTTCACAGCCCTGAGCAACATAGCTGGGACGATCTAGTTTTTAAGTGTACACCAGGCCTGCCAGACACTTAGATTCAGGCCTCAGTTTTCTAAAGTTGACTTTAATTTCAGCTGCCTATGATTTTAGGGCTCAACTTTGCATAACATGGGCACGTGTGTAAAACAAGCTGAGTAACCCACCAGGGAAAAAGAAGTCAGTGAGAGCTGTGTGTGCGTTTCACCCCTTAAAAATATAGCAAGTCTGAGGTTTCCAAAGCTGCCTCAGGGATCTGGGTATCTGATTGGGGCATAGATAGGAGCTTTATCCGCCTCTCCCACTATGGAATATGGGCCTTTGCTCCCACTCAAATTTACAAGCTGCAATTTTCAAAGCCAACCAAGGGAGTTGGACCCACACAATTTCTGTTGAATGAATGGGAGAATTGCCTAGCACTTTGGGGGCCCTCTCATGGCTGGATCTTAGGCACTTCAACAATAAACATCTTAAATACAAATACACATGGCTTTGAAAGTCCTGGCCTAGGTGACCAGGTGATCAACTGGGCATCCTAAAATTAAGGAACCCATAAAATAAATTAAATGATCAGAATGTATTTTTGAAAAGTTTAGCCTTATTGGGCTAGATCCTCAGCCGATGTAAATCACAGGGATGTCGATGGATTGGCACTGATTCACACCAGCCGAGGATCTGTTCCATAATTTCTGTGATGCTAAGAGAACAATGAAACATCTCTGGTTTCTTTCTCATTCCTAGACAAACTGACTTAAATGAGACCTTCTCAGTGCTTCCAAGGTAAGGATGGGGTGTCCTGTGTTCATTAATATAAAGAAAATAGACAGCTGAGATTGTGGTCATAGCAAACAAAGCAAAGAAAATTGATGCAGGTGTAGCCTGGTGTCGTTATGTAGAAAATTCCACCTTACACACTCTATTCCCAGTTCCACAAAATTTATGGGTGACTGTTGGGGCATTTATCTTTGTCAAAGTTTACAGCCCTGAAGCTTTATGCTAACTCCTGAAGGCAATGTCTCACAGCATACAGGTTAGGCAAGGTATCAGTGTCTTACAGGAGAGAGTCCTGTAGGTTCCTTACCTTACTGCTAAATAAAATGCTAGCTCTGTGGGCTATACAGGCGATAAATATATGGAAAGACTGTGTCTAGGTAAGGTCTTGATAAAGTGGAAGGTGATTCTTCCCTGAGATCGTCTACTGTCTCCATATCTATTAATCATGTTTATGGTGGTTTCCAGATTGGGCCATAGAGATGAAGAACGTCTCTTTAATCAGTACCTTAAAAAGGAAATTACTCCCAGAATTAGTCTGTAACCCTTCTGCCCATCTGAGCTGGCAGCAACAAGGGCCAGGTTCAGTATCTAGGGGTTCCGTTTCAATAACACAATGCAAAACCAGCTCGAGCCCCCACCCAGTGACCTGGGACAATTACATACCACCCCCTGGGTCCCTTTAAGAGGCAATACTTCCCCTGTCACAAGCACAGAGTCTAAGTGTAGCAGAAAATGTTTAATAACATGAGGTAAACACATCAGAATTAAATTGGGAAAACACCACAAACAGGATTCATAACACAAACCATGAGCAAAAGACCCACCCCCAAAGTCCCAAAAGTCCAACACCCCAAAAGTCTCTGTCCCTGGTCAGTGCAGCTCCAGAGTTCAAAAGTTTGTCTGCAGAGTCTTACTCCCCTCTTCCCCCAGCCTGGGTGGAAATGGGGTGGGGGGGAAGAGAAAGGGGAACACAGGGTATCAAGGGGCACCTTACATGGTCCAAGGCCAACTGCCCTGCCTCTTCATGGGGTTCTGCTGCAGCCTTCACCGTGAGCCGCTCCTCCAGCTGTCCTTCAAAGTGCTCCGCTCACCATCCCGTGGGCTGCACCAACCGTCCCACAAACTGCTCTGCTAGCCACTTAGCAATAAAACTTCAGGCTCCCCCCACTAGTTAACACACCACTCAGTGATCTCAGCTCACAATAGGGGGAGCCCCAGTGCTGGTGCACCATTGGCCCAAAATGAATTCAGTATAGCAGCCTGTAACTAGACTCTTAATAGAAACAAAATTAACTCTGCTATTTAACAGTGGAGAAAGGAAGTGGTGCAATTGGTATTCCTGGCCCCCAAAAGGGGCCCATACTATCATGTACAAATATCTAACCCCCAACCTCTCTCAATTCTCTGGGTTTTGGAACCCATGCCCCTTGTCTAGCAAGTGCTACTTAGTTAATGGTGAGTCCCTTTGTCATATAACAGTTCCACTGGCCTTGATTCACATAATCAGGGTAACAACACTTTATTCTTCCTGCCCCAATAACAGAGGAACTGGGGATCCCACACCAGCCAAAGTAACCACTTTCAGTTGCTGTGGGCTCATGCTAGGTGGGTAGGTGTGCCTATGCAAACAAGATCAGCCCCTGAAGTTCTTTTCCACACTCGCTATAATTCACCACCAGATGTCAGGGTGGAGCTCATCCCGACTCTGCTTACAAGTCTATGTTGAATACAACTCTACCATACTCATTTTTTCTAGTGCCTGTTATATGGTATAGATGCCCATTTCTAATTCATTCTTTTTGATCATTATGGAAGGTTAAAGATACTAAATACATACAGTTATATCACAGTAATTCATGTCTTCTTTCAACAGAATGTCATATCCTCAGCCATTTGTGGACAAGCCTCAGTAAGTCTCCCCATCTCACATTTTGTTTTAAATTGGATAAATATTTTTAAAAAATTAAACAGGAAAAAAACATGATAGTTATATGTAGACCAGATTATTGCTCAGCAATTACAGGGATAAGAACCACTCTAAGAAGCTAAAGAGTTAGCCCTGCCAACATAATAAATTAGATAGGGAAGTCTCAGAATTATTTCAGTTCAGTTTTGTGACAACTGCCAGTTTGTTTAACAGTGACTTTTTTCAGTAGAACATACTATTAAGTGCAAAAAATCTATTTTCACTTAAAGGAGGTTTTTTTAAGGGGAAAAATACAACTTTTTGTCATTTTACGTATTAGAATTTGATCTGGCTTCCTATGTAAATCATTTAACATTTCCACTTGTCACGATGCATAAAAAAAATCATCTCATTTGGATTTTCAAGGGTGCTATGCAGTCAAACCCCTGTGTTTTTATATGACTCAAATGTTTCACTCCCCTCTGTTCTTTGTAAATTGATAGAATATCAGGGTTGGAAGGGACCTCAGGAGGTCATCTAGTCCAAACCCCTGCTCAAAGCAGGACCAATCGCCAACTAAATCATCCCAGCCAGGGCTTTGTCAAGCCGGACCTTTAAAACCTCTAAAAAAGGAGATTCCACCACCTCCCTAGGTAACCCATTCCAGTGCTTCACCACCCTCCTAGTGAAAAAGTTTTTCCTAATATCCAACCTAAACCTCCCCCACTGCAACTTGAGACAATTACTCCCTGTTCTGTCATCTGCTACCACTGAGAACAGTCTAGATCCATCCTCTTTGGAACCCCATTTCTGGTAGTTAAAACAGCTATCAAATCCCCCCTCATTCTTCTCTTCTGCAGATTAAATAATCCCAGTTCCCTCAGCCTCTCCTCATAAGTCATGTGCTCCAGCCATTGTGAACATTAACCATTGTTTCTGAGTGACAAAACATCCTGGAATGAAATTGTGAATATGTTTGTGTGAAAAGTCATGAAGTTTGCCATTATTTGCTCCCCGCTGCATCATGTGCTCAGATCTATAGGAGAAAATGTACAACTTGAGTTGGTTGGTAGGTAGATACAATTGTCACTTATGGATAAATTGCTCCATAATTTACCCAAAGAGGGTCACTGGCACCTTCTCCTGAAGCGTCTACTGCTGGCCAATGACAGAGAGGGGATATCAGGCCCTATAGTCTGATTCAGTCTAGCCGTTACTGAGTTTTTTCTCTCATTTCGTGCAGGAGAACTGATGTCTTACTGATGTCCCCCTGGCTGGCTCCTATTATGTGGGAAGGCACCTTCAACAGAGACATCCTGAATGCCCAGTACAGACAAAAAAATTTCGTTGTCGGAGTGGCCACGTTTGCAGTTAAAAAGTACGACTTCCCTTCCACAATACGAGGCCTGGTCCACACTAACCCCCCCCACTTTGAACTAAGGTACGCAACTTCAGCTACGTTAATAACGTAGCTGAAGTCGAAGTACCTTAGTTTGAACTTACCGCAGGTCCAGACATGGCAGGCAGGCTCCCCCGTCGACTCCGCGTACTCCTCTCGCGGAGCAGGAGTACCGGCGTCAACGGCGAGCACTTCCGGGATCGATCCGGGATCGATTTATCGCGTCTAGACAAGACGCAATAAATCAATCCCAGAAGATCGATTGCTTACCGCCGGACCCGGAGGTAAGTATAGACCTACCCCAAGACCTGTGTCACTACGCCTAGCTGTGCTGCACTATGGAGCATGATAGACATCCTTGAAAGGCTCCCTATAATGATCCTAGCTCTATTCCACTGCGTACTGAGGCCTTGTCTACACCACACGGCTAAATCGGCGCTGCTGTCATTGATGCAGCGGTGTCAACGTCTGTAATCCACCTCAATGTGAGGCAGAGGCTATTTCAACTTAAGTTACAGTACTTACGTAACTTGACTAGCGTAACTGAGTTTGACTTATAGTGTTAGTGTAGACCAGGCCTGTGGCTGGGGTGTGCAGATAGCCATTAAAGCACAGAGACACTGGGACTATGTCTACACTACCGCGGTAAGTCAACCTATGCTATGGAACTCCAGCTACGTGATTAACGTAGCTGGAGTCGACGTACCTTAGGTCGAGTTACTGCGGGATCTACACTGCGGGGGGTCGACGGGAGAAATTCTCCCATCGACTTATCTTACTCTTCTCATCGGGGGTAGAGTACAAGGGTCGACTGGAGAACAATCTACAGTCGATTTGGCGGGTCATTACTAGACCCGCTAAATCGACCACTGGTGGATCAATCTCAGAGCGTCGATCCGGGCTGTAGTGTAGACCTGCCCTGGGATTCATGAACTGGGGTCCACCCACTCCTTATCAGATAGCACTGGTCTCACTAACCCATTTCAACAGGCCGTAGGGCCACAAAAGAAAATATCTGGAATGCTTAAGCCCTAAGATAAAATTGTTAAAGGGAGGATCCTGTGTGCAGTAACTCAGCTCCTACTATGAAAGGAACTGGAGGCCTATATTTAAAACAATGATTCTTTTTTAAGGCTCGGGATTTCAACAAGGCCTTAATGGCCAGATTTTTAAAGGAATTTAGGCACCTAACTCCAATTGATTTCAGTGGGAGTTAGGGACCTAAATAACTTTGAAGACCAGACCCTAAGGGAATTAAGAAGATGCCAAATCAAATTGCAAGTAAACTATCATGGCAGCCTAGGTGCCCCACTCAAGGACCAGGAACCCAATTGCCTCAGGACACTCCCTCTGGGCTGTGGGAGACCCTCTAGTTTATGTCCCCATTCTGCTTCAGGAGGAGGAGGAGGAGAAGAGATTTGAACAGGGATCTGCCAACTTTCTGGTCAATGCCTGAACCACTGGGCTGTGGGACATTCTGATGTGGAGTGCCCTCAATCTGTCTTGTTGAAGCTGTTCCTTGTAGATTAAATAATTAGAGACTGAACCAGAGAAAGCAAGCATGAGAATGTGGACTCATTGCCTGGGGTTGTTGTGAAGGCCAGAACTACAACAGGGTTCAAAAAAGAACAAGATAAATTCATGGAGGATCGGTCCATCAACAGCTATTAGCCAGGATGGGCTGGGATTCAACCCCATTCTCTGAGTGTCCCTAGCCTCTAATTGCAAGAAACTGGGTGTGGATGAGGGGATGGATCACTCAGTGATTGTCTGTTCCATTCATTCCACACTGATAACTCATTGCATTCACTGTTGCACTCATTTTCCTTTCAGATACGTCCGGTTCATAGAAGGGTTTCTTGGCTCTGCCAACAAATTCTTCCTCTCTGGGCACAGGGTCAACTTCTATCTCTTCACTGACCAGCCGGAGAAGGTCCCATCCATGAAGCTGGCCCCTGAGAAGAAACTCTTCACCATCACTGTCCAGAGCTACTCACGGTGGCAGGACATCTCCATGAACCGCATGGACATCATCAGCAACCACATCCGCACCCACTGGCGCTACGAAGTAGACTACCTTTACTCCATGGACATCGACGTCCAGATGTTCGAGCACATCGGGGTGGAGATCATCGACACGCTTGTGGGGACCATCAGCTCCTGGCAATACACGAAGCCCCGGGATAGCAACTCCTATGAGAGACGTCCGGAGTCGCGAGCCGCCATCCCCAGTGGGGAAGGGGATTTCTACTATGCAGCCAGCTTCTACGGAGGGAGTGTGTCTGAAGTCTACAAGTTGACCACAGCCTGCTTCAAAGGGGTCACGGAGGACAGAGCCAATGGCATTGAAGCCAAATGGCACGAGGAAAGCCACCTGAATAAATACCTCCTGTACCACAAGCCCACACGCCTTCTGTCCCCAGAGTACTACTGGGATGAGGAGCTGCCCCGACCTCAAATCATCAGGGTGAAGAGATTGTCGTCAGTGCGCAAAGATCTGAAAGAAGTCAGGTCCTGAAGGAAGGAAGAGAAAGAGAAAGAGATGGATGGATGCTGTGACAGATATGGCAATCTCCTGCAATACCCTTGAAAAAAGCCTCATTGAATTAAGTATCTTTAAATCAATGACTCAAGCTTGTTGAATAACAGGCTCAATTGGAATTACTTAATCAAAGATTATCAATCAGAGATTTGTGCAGCACTGTACAGAATACAGAAAGAAATAGATTCTAGGGCTGTCGATCAAGTACAGTTAACTCACATGATTAACTGAAAAAAATTAGTCACAATTAAAATATATCACAATTAATTGCAGTTTTAATCGCACTGTTAAACAATAGAATACCAACTGAAATTGAATAAATATTTTTTCTACATTTTCAAATATATTGATTTCAATTACAACACAGAATACAAAGTATACAGAGCTCATTTCATCTTTTTTACCATGCATTGTGACAGGGTCAAGCCAGATGGCTACAGGAGAGTGTTCCTTTTTGAGTACTGGGACGTGGGCGAGCGCTGAAAGCCCCTCCTCCAGCCTAAGGAGGGGCTACTAAACCCAGAACCCAACTGAGTTCGGGGGACAACAAAGGCAACAACAGGAACAGGCATGGGGGTCAAAGGGCCAAAACTAAGGAACCAGAAGGGGACACCGAGCAGAGAACCCCGGACAGTGCCCCCTGCTCCTCGAAAACATTGAGAGAGCCGGCGGACGCTGCCCAGAGGAACTCTGCCCGGATATGTGAACGGATGAAAGAATGAAAAACGGCCCCACAGTCGCAGGGCCCGCCCCCGCCAACCTCCTCTCCCTGTTGTTACATATGGCCACCTTGGCCATGGCTAGGAAGAGGTTGACGAGGTGCTCCTGCAACTTCGTGAGGCCTCGGATCGGGTGTGCATAAAGAAATAAGTGCGGGGAAAAGTGCAGCCAGAACCTCAATAAGAGGTTCTGGAGGAGCCGGAAGAGGGGCTGCAGCCTGGCGCACTGAAGGTACGTGTGCGCCAGGGTCTCCCTCATGCCACAGAAGGGACAAGCTTCAGGGACAGTGGTAAACCGCGCCAAGTACACACCCGTGCTCACAGCTCCATGCAGGAGCTGCCAGCTGATATCCCCTGCGGGCCGCAGGACTAAGGTGGAATAGAAACTGGCCCACCGGGGTTCCCCACCCTCCACTGCTGGTAGAAGGTCCCGCCACTTGGTGTCTGGGTGGGACACGAGGGTGGGGTAATGAAGCATGTGCAGCATGAGCGCGTACAGATGGTCCCTTGGCGCGGTATGGAAACAAACCGGCTGCATGACATGCAGCTGGCTGGAGGTACGGGGAGCGGGAGGCCGGGAAGGCTCACGGGGCGGGGGGCCGATGGAAAGATCCGGAGGGCCTGGAGTGAGGGGCGGGTGAGGCGCACCCTCTCGCAGGACCCGCTCGAGGAAAAACCGAGCCGTGGGAGGCAGGGCTGCCTCCACCTCCTGGAGTACGCACCGGGGGGTCGTAACAGTGGAGAACCCCATGCGCCGACCGAGCGCCTGGGGATCCACCCAACCTCCCCCCCCGGTCGTAGTCCAGGAGGTCTCCGATCTTGGTGACTCTCACCAGGACCAACCTCTGGCACACCAAGGAGGACTCTGCCACCTGCACACGAAGATGGGGATTGTATAACATGGGCTCCGCGAGGAGATCTACCCCCTCGGTGGCCACAAAGGACCTGGTTGCTGAAACAAGCAGCCAGGTCCGGAGAGGGTCCTTGTAAAAGACCGGCAGCTCAGAGAGGTCCTGCGGAATATCTCTCCGATGGAGAAAAAAGAGCTGCCGGTCGTGCCCCGTCGCCCAGCAGAGAAAGCTGAAGAATAATAAACCCGGTACTGGGCCCCTCGATGGGGCACCAGAAAGGACCCCTCCAGAGCCTCCCCATCACGTGCCACTGGCGGAACTTGAACCTGCACCTGCTGGCGGAATGATAGAACGTGGCGGAGGGCGAGGTCCTTGCAGCCCAATGAAAGGGGGCTGGGGACGGACAGGGGCCTCCCCAGGGTGGAGAGGAATGGCAAAAGGGTGGCATGGGGAAGAAGGGAGGAACAGAGGAGAAAACCACCCGTACGCCCAGGTCCTCCAAAGGCTCAAGGGGGACGTGAATGCCCCCTGACCGCCAAGCCCCTCTCCACCGCCTCCTGGGCAGCAGCCTCCGGCGCCAGGAAGAACACCACCTTCCCAAACATCTTTGAGGCCGCAACCACGGCCGTGGGCCCCACAACCCGCGCCAACGTCCATGCTCCCTGGTGAGGGTGGGAAAGGGGCCACAGCCACCAGGAATGGTATTCCGGGAGGCAGCTAGAGCAGACGGCGAGGCGGCGAGCGGAGGGGTCGCAGCCCCCTGGGCGTAGGCGCTGGAGGCCGAGGGAGCGGCACCCACAGAGCTGGTGGAGGGAACAACAGGCAAGGGAGAAAGCGGAGCTGTGGCCGTTGACGGGGCCGCCGCAGGGGAAGGGACCACCGTCACCAGGGGGTTTACCTTTCACG